GTAAATCACTATGAGAGACTCTTCCACTTTTTTCACCAAAGTGTAAGAAATAAAGGGAACTTCCATTTGTGGAAGGACCAGCATGTGCCAGGCTCTCTGGCAGATACTTTCCTATTAGTCTTATATAGAGGATGCTGGTAGAGTCCTTCAAAGTGCCAAGATTCTCTCCCAGCTGATTATCTTGTTTCTTGGAAGGTGCATTGACCACCTTCTCCCTCCCGAGGCAGGAGACAAATCCTAGGATGACTCTGTTCCCACTGTTTGGACGTCCTGCTAATAGCTGCCCCTGCTCACAGTAACCAGCAAAGGTGGCCATCCTACAAAAACATCCTTTCAAGGCTCTTCCTCTGTACAGCCTGGTTCCTTTCCAAGACATAAATGTTGGTGAGAATGCCTTCCTATTTATTATTAAAACATATCTCACTGAGAATAAGGATAGAATGCTCAACAACTAAGGTCTGCCACAAGGAGGTGGTCACAGAGGATCTTCTCCGAGCACATTATAGGATCACATGGTCCCAAGATATTATGAGCACCATCTGCCTGAAATTACACTGCCTTCCTCTCCACCACACTCCACACTCCAGTATTAGAGTAGAAGTCCCACCACAGAACCACAGGCAGAGCTCCAGGAGGAGTGTGACAGCCCCAGGAGGGGGCAGGGGAATGGCTGCCCTGCTCCACTGCAGCAATCTGCATGTCTTTACCACTTAGCTGATTGTGTCTTGGAAACCTAAAGGAACCGGGAGTGGATGGATTAAAGATGGGCTAATAACACATTCCAGAATGGAGTTGACAGTTGGAGACCTGGAGGAGGTGGCCCTGTGAGAGCCCTGGCCCAGGAGGTGAGCCCAGAAGTGATCTTAGATCAGTCCCTCTGCTGATCATTTTGTACACAGTTAGCCTCTGAGACTGGAACAGCGTCCTGGCCTTGAAGAAAATGATACTGCCCCAGCACATAAAGTCTCTTCCACTTACTATCTATTTGACTTTGGGCAACCCCCCCTCTGGCTTTAAGACCCAGTTTCTGCATTTTTTAAATGGAATTAAAACACTTACCTCATGGTTTTTTTTTGAGGGTGTTGAAATAAGATAATAGATGTTGTCTTGATTAGGCTCTTTAAAAGAGCTACAACACTGGCAATTTGCTGCTCAGATGCTCCAGAACGTGGGGTATTATGGGAAAGGGCTTCAACAGCAGCCCAGTCTCTTGGGCTCTCAAGGATTCAGAAGATGCAGCAGAGTAACTACATCACTTGCAACAGCAGCCTGACCTTGAGCGATCCAGCAATTTTGTGTTCACTTGGTGTTTATACTTCTCCAAATACAGGATGTGATTTGGTTTTCCCGCCTTTGATATGGAACACCCAGGGATGGCAGCATGTGAGCCAGCTGGGAGATACGGCCTTTCTTATTTCTAGCATCTGCAGGCATGTATAAGGCTACTTTGCTTTGTCCTCCAAGCCCTGTTTCCATCAGCAGTAGCAGGGCTGGTTTCACCTAAAGTCTAAGTCTGGGCCTTAGAGTGTAGAAGGGGCTGTGATTGTCTAGGTTCTCTGAGGCTTAAAGGTGTATTAGCGGATATGGGAGGGACATGATTCATCATAGCTATTTAAGTAGACAAGCTCTACAAAATGAAGCTTAGCTAATGGCCTAAAGACTAAACTATGAGGTGTTAAGGAATAAAAGCCACCATAGACAGGCCCCCCAAAAGGCTCCAGTGTGGCCACATCGGTCCAGGATGCTCACATTCCCTGAGGGAGGAGAGCACTGCTTTGGAGCATCCAGTCATACTTATATGCAGACAACACCATGGGCAGCATCTTTTTTGGCTCTGAAGGATCATCATCATTTGTATACAACAGATCCATGTGATTATACATACTAGTGGGAAGAGGCTGGGTGGTCCATGGCGAAATTTCACAGGGTGAAATTGTTTATTCAGTGTCAGTTAAAATAGCTGGCTTATAGACATAAGTAACTAGAATGAAGATTTAGGACCTCTTGATAGCTGTTTTTGCTGTTCCCCAAGTTGTCATGATAAAGCATGTGGTGAAATGGTTTCAATTGATTTTTTAGAGAAATCCATAGCCGCATTTGTACAAAACAGGAAGTGCCGGGGGTTAACCACACGGCCTCCAAATTTATTTCTCTCACATTTTTAGGCAAAGGAAAGAACCTCACAAGTTGCAAAACTGCGGGACACAAATACCCTTTTCTGGGGGATGTGAGGTGGATGGGGTCTGGTTCCTACGCCCTGGTAGTTAGAACAAAATTTTAGAGCAATTTAAATTCTGTTGTGGGTATTACGTTTGGGTTCTTTTCCTTGGGGCTGTGACTGTGTTCTTCTAAGAGAAACCTGCGAGGACCAGTCAATGATCCCAAAAGTCACACATGTTGCAAGCTTTTCTCATTTGCAGCCTCCCAGCCATTGTCATTTTTCAAGTGACTCCTCTCACTGGCTTTGATGACTTTTCCCTTCACCCAGACCAGTTTAACTTGACAGAACTCATCAATAAAGTTTGACAAGTCAGAAGTTTGGTTAAGCATTTGAAATTGTTGGAAATTGACTCTATCAAAGAAAATCCTTAGTACTGAAAATCTTTTGGGGTACACGATCCCTGAGGCAGGGCAGCTCCCCATCCCCTCTGATATGAAGCAGACAAGGGAGATTTGCTATTCCTGGCTAAAGATCCACAAACTATTCCAAGAATTTTCTGCTTATCCTTGTCTTGAAATGAGACAAGTACTGTCCTTGGCACATGAATCCATCCCATTGCTATGTGGTATAGCTTTCTTGGTGACTTTCTTAGAAAAATAAGAGCCTTAAAAGCACTTTTGGAATAAATTGTCTTGGTTTTGCATTTCACTAAAAACACTCAACACTGTCTACTCTAACAGGCTAGTATAGTGTGGTGGTAAAGAAGTTGGTACCTGGAATTAGATAGTCTTGGAATTCAAGATCCCCACATATTAACTGTGCGAACTTAGGCAAGTTTCTTCAACACTTTAAGCCCTGTTTTTGAGATCTATAAAATGTGCATAATAACAGTACCCTCTTCATGGGGCTTTTGTAGCATTTGTAAACATTGAGTTAGTGGTAGCTAATTATAACATGAGAATATATTTAAAGATGAATACCCCAGGCATTCCTATGCGCTGTGAGAACTAAAGAAGTTGAGTTGCTAAATTCAGGGTGTAAACTTGGGTGCCACAAAGCAAAAGATGATCTTGGATTGGAGGTTAGGATAAAGGAGTGATTGAATTTTTTTGGGAAAAAAATGAATATTTTGCCCTTGAAAAAATATTTCACGAATTAGATTGAAACTTCTCCTAGTCGACGTGAGCCAGCTCAGCTGAATGTCTGCTATTTGGGGCTGGACAGTGAGGGACGCCATACAAAGCTCTCTGTGTCCAGGTTGAGTAACAGCCATATGATACTCCCAGACATACCTTCCCAAGCCGCATGACACGCTGCCATGGTAAGCACAGAGAGTGTGTATATTTCTCTTTCCTGTTATTACACATTCCATGCTGAATTCAAATGCACAATGAGCATTTGAATGACCTAGGTATTGAAAATTGAACCTAGTGAGACACTTTTAGGGACTCACTTTTAATAAGACAGAGAATGAGAGAGAAGAGAAACCATAACTATGTATTTCCCCCTCCTCTGACGAGCAGTCCCAGAAACAGACACTGAGGATCCATTGTCAGTGACAATGTACACGTAAAAAAGGTGTGGCTATCCCAAGAACAGATAACTATGTAGGGAGCTATATAAGCAATGGACATTTCTGTATTCATATTTAGGACTCATTCAAGAGTAAAAATTTGAAACATGCATGAGGAGCTGGAGAAGACTATTTGGTTGGATAGAGGTAAGTAGTGTGAAAGAATCTGATGTTTCATGGAAATGGCCCTCGTTTCTGTAATAAAGGCTCTGTAGACGAAGTAGAATGCCACTTGGACTTTAAGGGTAGAGTCATTCTGATTTGACAGGACTAGGGGAATGAAGTCCTTTGGAGGCACCAACAGACTAAAACACCCTCTAAGGCAGCTCCTGCAGCCGACAGAGATGCGACAGGAATGAGTCCATGCGGATGGTTCTCTAAGCAGTCCTGGGAGTAAGGAGTGAAGGTGGTACATAACGGTGGGAGTGAGGTGGGAGACGGAGGGTTAGGGGCATCACCATATGGATCGAGAGCCACAGAAGGAAGAGCAGAAAACAAAGCTGTGAGTGTGAAGTGTGGAGTGTGTGGCATCTGCTGGAGAAAGGACAGAGTGGGAGGGGAAGTTTTATGGAGGGAGGGAGGACCTTTATAGTATTTGCGGGGTATAGAAATTCTTGACAGTCAGAATGTAGGTGCAATGTAGATTTTCTATTTGTAATGTAATATTGTAAGTGTGAATCAGTCAGGGTATTGGCAAGAAACAGGTGGAAGCCTTAAAATGGGTAACATAGGAGAGTTTAATGAAGAAATGATGTTCAAGGTGTGGGCAGCACGCAGGGAAGCCATAGCAGCCATGCAGGGTGGGGAGCATTTCCACCCCAGCCTGAAGGGACACAGGAGAGTTACTGGAACCCTGATGGAGAGCATCAGGTGCAGAAAGAGATAGGAGTTGCAGCAGGTGAGACAGGTCAGTGTCCTGGACACGGAGCAGGTGGAGAAGCATGGAGAGGCTCTCTTTCCGATTCTCATCGATATAGGCACTCGCTCTGCACATAACGCTATGCTGATTTCTTCCTTTCCAACTGACATTTTTGAGCTTAGGATGATGCCCTGTGTAAGAACTCAGCTGTCAGAATCAGACAGCCCGTGAATGGGCTGCACGCCCCTCACTAACTGTGTGCCTGTGCGCAAGGGGTTGAAGGTTCCCAAACATTTCCCCAGACAGCACGTTCGTCACTGCCGTAATTATTGTTGAAACTATTCTTGGGAAGTAGCTTTAGTCCCTTCTCCTTCTGCTTAATTTTCAGTTCTCTGCCTGAGGTCGTTTCTAGGAAAGGCCCAAGAACAGGATAAGAAGCAGCATGCATCATGGGGTAACAGACAGACACACAGAGACACACTTCGTCAATGAGTCTATTCTTGGAGCTGAAGGAGCAGAGAGAGAAGGAAAGAGCACTCTTGTGGGCTATTTTTTTTAACCTCTCTCTGTAGCCATTGCAGGGGAAGACTGTGATGTATTGGCTGGAAGTCAAGAGTGTCCTGGAGTCATGGGGATTCACTGAGCATTAGGGAAAAGACCCAGCGCTTCTCACAGTAGTAGCATCTGCACGTCTGCTTTATTTACAGTCCCTTCTTTGCTTGCATTAGGAGCATCCACTGAAACCACACATCCTGGAGCACACCTACCCGTTGTTGCTTCCACTGTCGACTGTGAGAAAAAGCAACACCATAAGTGCAACTCAAAAGAAGCAGAAGCTTTTGGACCACCTCTTGCTCAGCCAGAGGAGATTGTCTCAGAAATTTTGACTGAATCCTCTTATTCTTGGTGATTTCTAAAAAGAAGAAGGATAAGGAAGCAGCTCTCACTGTATCTCAAAAAACAAAAACAAAATCGAGGGGGCTTGTCTGGTGGCATAGTGGTTAAGTTCACGCGCTCCACTTCGGCGGCCCGGGGTTCACACATTTGGATCCCAGGTGCAGACACAGCACTGCTTATCAAGCCGTGCTGCAGCGGCATCCCAAATACAGAACAGAGGAAGGCCGACATAGATGTTAGCTCAGAGCCAATCTTCCTCATGAAAATAAATAAATAAATAAAATAAAAATAAAAACCGGATTGAGACAAACAAAACTCTTTCTATTGAAGTCAGACTGAGGTGGGTCGAATTGTTGGTTCTGCCTCTTATGTGATATGGGTGCCCTACTCTATTTCACTAAGAATCATCATTTTCATCAATAAAATTGAGTTGTTTCGAGAATTCAAGGTGACATTTAATGTGCTTAGTATGTTATCTGGTACATATCAAGTACATAATAAATATTACCCATTTTTATGTTTGTAAGTCAACTCCTATATCAATGTCCTCTTAAGAAATACTTGTCTTTTTTATTTATATTCAAGAGTCGTACAACTTCTCTGTCCTCAATCCCAATATGCGTACTGGCATTCTTTCCACAGTTCCATTATGGCTCCGCCACCCTCCCTCCCAACAGCCCTGCCCTCTTTCCTCCTCGCAGGCATTCCTCAGGGCTCTGAACTTCTCTGAAAAATGTTTTGATGGCCCCACCACCTTCACGCCAAACAGTAAGCAATCGCTATTTGCCTTGGCTGTTTGCTTGACACCAACCTACTAATGGCGGATGCCCACACTTTTATAAAGAAGGATCTTTCCAAATGATAACAAACTTCCAATTACACATTTGGTGCCTTAAATTTACTAGGCCCTCTGCGATGAACAAACTGTCCTTGTTACTTGTTTCCAAGAGCAACTGTAGTTAAAAAAATCAAATTTCTGTCCATTTTTAATATTTGTTTTTCGTTTTGGATTTAAGGGAAAAAATGTATGAGCCCTCCTTTCCTAAGGAGGCTGGCGCTCCAATTATTCGCACTGAGGGTTTTGCTTTGCTTTCAATGTCCCTAAGTGGTATCCAAGGGGCTGACCCTTGACTCCTTTGCTCTGTCCCCAGGAAAACCAATGATAATTTATCCAATCAGATGATGGTTTGTTATCACGTCATCTTTGGGGCAGATATATATTGAATTGTAAAACAAATTTTTCTTTCATAAATCTCATTTGAGAAAAGTTAAAATTTGTTTTCAGTTCTATTCTTCTTTCTTTAGCTCTTCAGCTAGTATTTTTTTTAACTTTTCTAAATCTTTTGACTGCATCTCTTTCTCCATCAGAGAGCTTAATCTTTTCCTAACTTCCTAATAAAGAAAAAAGCCCTTGTTTATCCCTGTCATCTTTACGGGGAGAGAAAACAACACAAACAAAATAAAAACATCCAGACGTCTGTGTTGACAGGAGGAGAGCTCTTTGACCAGTCCCTGTCTCCCCAGACTTACTGGTCACTCAGGTCCTAGCCCTTGGGGTAGCGCAGGGGTTGGCCTTGGCAAGCCCATATAGAGCTGCCCAGCAACGCCTGGCGTTTCTCTTGATGAGTGTTCTAGGCAAGGGGGAAGTGATTCTCTTTTCTCCCACTAAAGATCTCTGAAAGGACTTTCGGCTGTGGCAGATGACATGGGTCTTCTAAGGACAGATCTTTCTTCCATACTCTTCTAAGTGACGGGCAACTCAGTCTCTCTCTGTCATCGCTTAGATTCTTTCCTCTTCCTTCTCAGTCCTCTTCTCTACAGAATCAGGCCCAGGGAGTTGAGAAATCCTGCTCCTTCTATTGGGGTGCCAGGAGACAAGAGAAAATGTGGCTCCTTTCCTTCTCTAAACACAGAACTTCACTGCCCCAGCATCACCTCATTATCCAGATCTCCTGATCTCCTTCTCCAGAGCCCTTCTGTTATTCTGGATTTGGATGATACACAAGTATTGGTTGTAGGAATGGAGGTGGGGGGAGAAAAATAAGTCCAGGTGGGGGACCTTTAGGGCGAAAGGTGACAGGGGCACTCTGGCATATTTATTACCACTCAGAAACAGGAGAGTAGATATAAAATCATATTCTTTTTTCTTTTTGGTGAGGAAGTTTGTCCCTGAGCTAACATCAGTGCCCATCTTCCTCTGTTTTGTATGTGGGACTCCTGCCACAGCCTGGCCTGATGAGCAGTGCGTAGGTCCACGTCCAGGATCTGAACCCGTGAACCCTGGGCCACTGAAGCAGAGTGCATGAACTTAACCACTATGACACCAGGCCGGCCCCTAAAATCACATTCTTGACCATGGCAGCATATTCATGTGCTCAGTGAAACTTCTTTGTCTCCATTATGCACAAAACGGAAAACTCAGGTCTGTGTCATCAGCTTCTCCTTCCTCTGCGCTGTCTCCTTTGTCAGGTGCTCTTTCTATTCCTCCAATGTGACTCTTTCCTAAGGATTAGCCCTCAGATTTCTTCTCTTGATATATCTCCTCAGAGAATCCTCTATTCTCAGGATTTCCACATTTTACTTCTTTTCGCATGCCTTTCTATGTCTGTGTCTCTCACCTTGAATTCCACTCCCACATTGCAAAATGACTTATATGTGGACTGTGCACTGTCAACAGAAATAGCCTTTCTAACATGGAACTCTTCCAGTTTTCCTCACATTGGCCTCCTCCCACACCCTTTATTTGTCAAGGGCACTACCACCCTTTAGGTTTATGTTTCTCAGATCTTGAGAAACATCTGAGCAACTTTAATCCTCACTTTTCCATTTAGTAATTTAATTTTCTATGCCACTTCGTTATGATCACTTTCATACACGTTCTTGCTTTTATTTTTAAATAACTCTTCTAGATTTTTTCTTATTTTAAAAGCCACTTTTATATACATTGTAAGGAGCAAAACTGAAAAGTGCAGAAAAGCATAAAGAAGGAAATACGTCATCTACAATTACACCAAATAAAGATAATTATTATTTATGCATTTTTGGTCTTTGTTTCCTAAGTGTTTATCTACATGCATGTATATTAAAAAAGTAGAATCATATTGTATTGTTTGCATTTATTATATTACTTATCAAGAAATTATAAATACTTTTAATGTTTTAAATGGTTCTTGTTTACTGTATGGCTTTTAAATCAGGTGGCTATATTACAATTTATGTAGCCAATTGTCTAATGCTGTGCATTTATTATCATTTTTTCACAATTAAAATAATATTTGATATGAACCAATAAGACACATAGGAAAGGACTGACAGATTTTACTAAATATAAATTAAAACTTTTATATAGCTAATGATGTGAATAAAATTAAAACAAAATGATAAACTGGAAGAAAATATAAACAACATGTATAACAGAAAAGAGGCAATAAACATACTCTGGAGAGAGTGGCTTCAAATAAGTCTGAAAAAGGCTGACAATCCGGTAGAAAAAGGGAAAACTATCACAGTAGACAGCTCAAAAGGAGGAAACAATTGATCAATAAACAAGAAAATAGGACAGGTGGAAAATAGTGTCTCCTTGTTTTAAACTGCAATAATACTTTATAACATATTTTAAATGATAAAAGTAATACATGTTCATGTTGAACTATTTAGTTAATACAAAGAGGTATGAAAACTGTTTCTGAAATCCAAAAACTCACAGATGATCGCTGCTAACATTTTGTTTAATGTTTTTTCTATATTTATCTAATAATCAAAATAAGGTCCTTTGTTTCCCTTCAAAACTATTTCTGTGCCTATTCTAAATATTTTCTAAAGTTATAAATACAGCAACAAAATAGAACACAAAAGAAAACTTGAAAAGGAGATTTAAAAGTTGTAAATTAAAGAAAAAATAAAGTAGCATTACTAAAATTATTATCACAGAAAGTCGAATTCAGGGCAAGGAGTAGAAGCATTAAACAAAATTTTCAATTTCCATTTTCTTTTGAAAAAGGCACGATCGGCATGACGTCATTGCTGATGTTTAAATTACTTTCATTTACTTATCCTTATTCACTTAACTGACTGTCTCATTACAATTGCTCCTATTTTTGAGATTATATTCCAATTCATCAAATAATGATTTTTAGAGAAGATTTTTCAGAAAAGGTTCTTTTTGATGCCTTTCTTTCCTTAGCCTCTAAGATAAAATAACATTTTTTTTTTTCCTATTTCTGGAGTCAATCTACTCTCAAACTCCACCATCACTCTAGGCCAACTGGTCATTGCCACACGTGGAAACACTGAAGTTCTCCAAATGCTCTTCTTCTAAGTACTCCATTACCCCTACCTGCCACAATTCCCATTAAACTGCAGTGATTAAAAACACACACACAGTGGGGCCAGCCTGGTGGAATAGCAGTTAAGTTCACTCACTTCGCATCAGCAGCCCGAGCTTTGCAGGTTCAGATCCTGGGGGTGGACCTAGCTTAGTGGTGGCATCCCACATGAAATAGAGGACGACTGGCACAGATGTTAGCTCAGCGATAATCTTCCTCAAGCAAAATGAGGAGGATTGGCAACAGATGTTAGCTCAGGGCCAATCTTCCTCACAAACACACACACAAAACACACACATAAGTTAGATCATGCCACAATTGTTTTTTGCTAGATTATAGAAATACAACTGATTTTATGTATTGGCCTTGTATTCTTTGACCTTGCCAAATTCAAGGTCAAATGCCTGTTAAGATTTTTTTTTTTAGATTTTCTATATGGACAATCACGTTGTCTGTGAATAAAGACAATTTTATCTTTTCCTTTTGCAACTTGTTATGTCTTTTATTTATTTTTAACTTATCTAATTGCAGTGGCTGGCGGAAATCAATGTTAAATACAGGGGCTAAGAATGGACATTTTTGCCTCATTCCTTATCTTGGAGAGTGAAAGAAATTGGCATTTCACCATCACATGTAGTGTTAGCTACAGATTTTTTGTAGATGTCCTTGATTGGGTTGAGAAAGTTTGCTTCTTCTAGTTTATTGGGAGATTTATTTATTTTTTAAAATCATAAATCAGTGTTGAATTTTGCTTTTTCTGCATCTAAGGAGATCATCATATTATTTTCTCTTTCAGGATGTTGATATGAAGAATACGTTGATTAATTTTTGAAAGTTGAAGTCATCTTACATTCCTGAATAAACTCTCCTTGTTCATGATGGATTATTTATTTTACATATTGATGGTTTCAATTTGCTGGGACAGTGTTAAGGCTTTTCTTGTCTATGTTCTTGAGGGATATTGGTTTATAGTTTATTTTCTTGTAATGTCTATGGTTTTGGTATCAGGTAATATTGGCCTCAAAAATGAGTTGAGAACTGTTCCCTTCCCTTCTAATTTCTGGAAAAGTTTGTGTAGATTTTTTTTTCTTAAATGTTTGGGAGAACTCATCAGTGAAGTCATCTGGGCCAGGAGTTTTTGTTTGTTTATTGTATTATTATTATTATTATTTTTCTTAAATATTGGCACCTGAGCTAACAACTGTTGCCAATCTTTTTTTTCCTTCTGCTTTTTCTCCCCAAATCACCCCAGTATATAGTTGTATATTTAGTTGTGGGTCCTTCTAGTTGTGGTACATGGGACGCCGCCTCAACGTGGCCTGAGAAGGGGTGTCATGTCGGCGCCCAGGATCCGAACCAGCGAAACCCTGGGTCGCCGTCGCGCAGCGCGCGAACTTAACCACTTGGCCAAGGGGCCGGCCCCTATTGTATTATATCTGATGTACAGTATACAGTACAGATTTAATGTGGGAAGATTTGTTCCTACAGTTTCTTTAATAGATATAGAACTCTTCAGATTTTCTAATTTTTCTTGGTTGCTTTATAGTCTGTGCTTTCTAAGACTTTACTTCATCTATGTTGTCAAATGTATTGGCAAAAGTACTTCATAATACTTTCTTATTATCCTTTTAATATCTGCAGGATTCATGGTGATTCCTTCTCTTTTAATAGCTCATATTGGTAATTTGTGTCTTCTATCATTTTTGCCTCGATCAATCTGACTGGAGTGTTTTTTATGTTTATTTATCTTTTCAATGAATCAGCTCATTTCACAATTGAGCTATGCTCTAAATTTATTTGACTGTTAAAATGACTTTGAAGGATAGGAAAGGAAAATATATTTTAAATGAGGTTTCATAACAAAACAAACAAAAATCTCCTCTGCTGAAGAAATATGGCAAATGCACAAATATATTTTATATACAAATGAATTACTTGCAGTGGGAAATTTGACATCCTTCTCATATTAAATCAAAGATAGCATCAATTAAATTTTCATCACTATAGTCTCCCATACTTTACCAAAGACACTCTGTCATCAGAGTTCTGGGGTAATGGGAGAGTAATTCAATATCGTGACATTAAACCCAATTCCATTTTAGGTTTTAGGCTCTGCCTCTCAACCAATTTCATATATTTGCAAATGACATTTTTTTAATCTTGAACTAAAATTGGAGTAAATATGAATTATACTAATTATAGACATATTGGTTAAATAAAATGGTACATAATATTTACTGATAGGATTGGCAAAGATAAAAAATATTGTAATTCTCAATTTTTCTGAGGATGGGGAAAATTGTATATGATCAAGAAGAACATACGTTGCTACAATCTCTTTGCAAGGAATTTCACAATAAGTGTTAAGAGCCTCTATGTTTTTCATACCTCCTGAATCAATTCTTTCATTTTTTGGAAATTATTCTGAGGAAATAATTAAATACGTGAACCAATATACAGACAGTCCCTGACTTAATGATGGTTCGACTTAAGAGTTTTTGAATTTATGATGATGTGAAAACAATACGCGTTCAGCAAAAACCATATTTTCAAATTTTGACCTTTTCTTGGGGTAGTGATGTGCAGTATGATACTCTCTCGTGATGCTGGGCCGTGGCAGTGAGTGGCAGCTCCCAGTCAGCCACGTGATCATGAGGGTAAACAACCCATACACTTACAACCATGGTGGCCCCATACAACCATTCTGTTTTTCACTTTTAGTACAGTATTCAATAAATTACATGAGCTATTCAATACTTTATTGTGAAATAGGCCTTGTGTGAGATGATTTTGCCCAACTGTGGAGCTTCCAGATTAAGGTAGACTAGGAGGAAGTATCTGGCCACCCAATTCTGAAAAAAATGGCTATGAAAACCCCACGAACAGCAGCGAAGCATTGTCTGATATAGTCCCGAAAGGTGAAGGATGATGCAAAAAGACTAGGCAGAGGGTACACAGGGTTACTAGGAGTTGAAATCAACTCAATAGCACTAACAACAAAACAAAGGCTAAAGTAAGTGTTCTGAGCACATTTTAGGTAGGCTAGGCTAAGCTGGGATGTTCAGTAAGTCAGGTGTATTAAATATATTTTAAACTTACGATATTTTCAACGTATGATGGGCAAATCAGGATGTAACTCCATTGTAAGTCGAGGAAGATCTGTAAATATGTTCAGAAATGTTCCTAGGTCAGTTATTTAATAGTTTTAAAAAGGTAGACATGATGTCCAATAACTGGGGAGCAAACTTTAAGGAAACTTTACTAGGTTAAACCATGTCAAACCGCCATCTTTTGTAGGTTAAAAAGATTAAATGTCGGCAATTTCATATGGTTCGTTCTAGTAGGAGAAACATACAATGGAATATTATGTGGCCACTAAATATCATTTATGCAAACTATTTTTAATGATGTGAGTAAATATTCACATATTTGTACAATATACAGGGTTCAAAATCCTATTTTCAGTGTGCCATGATCTGTAGTCGTCTTTGGGTGGAGGGATGTTGTTTTCCTTTTTTTAATATTCAATCATGGGACAGTGTTACTTTTACAGTCAGAAATGGGTTATTATTAAACAAAAAGCAAAGAAACTACCATTTTCCCAAATAAAGAAGGAGTATCTGTCTCATAATCTCCAATCTCAAAGAACTTCCAAAGTTAACTAATTCTTGACGTTTTCGATTGAGCGCAAGGAAAAAGAACTGGAACAAGTAGCATATATGGGGAAGTTTACTAGTATGTCTGGAAAGGGAGAATTCACAGATTTCCAGTGGTTTTATGTGGCAAATCTCCCTAAGGAAACATTTTGATCTCTACTTGCCGAGCTGCCAACTGCTGTTGAGATGGAGAACACCAGTGTGAATGCCACAGACAGCCCTAAGGATGCAAGCTGCGCAGGCTTGTGTTAGGAAATGATCTTCCTGCAAGACTTACTCTAGGACTGCTTAGGAACTTAGTAAAGTACATCTACAGAGAAGGCTAATTAAGGTTATTTCCCGCATGTGATGCTCAAAGTGAGTACACTGGAAAGCAAGTACCCAACTTTTGCTGATAAGAAAAAAGAAATGATAGGAAGGATGAGTCACTAGAGACAAAGGACATGCCCTGTGTGGGAAGTATTCCATCGCCAGCCTGCTTTTGGTTTGTCCATTGTCTCCTCCCAAATGCATTGGAAAAGAGTCAAGAACTACATCAATCTTATATGACTTATGCCTTTTCATTCAGATATTTCTTTCTACACATTTCCTGGGCTCACTCAGGAAAGCCAAAGCCAGTTGTACGTAGTGTTTGACAGTCGTTGTGTTTCTGGATCCAATGGTTGTAATCATCCTTCTAGTCATTTTAAAATGTCATTTAGGCATCGGGATGTGTTTCTAGGAAAACACCGTACAGGATTTGAATTATTGAATTAAGATTTCTAAAATTTTTATTTAGGCCAACAAAGCTGCCAAAAGATTTTCAAAACCAGCCCTCTCTATTTATTTTTGAGCTGGAAACTTAAATATTTGGAGCCTTAGAATGTTGGACATTTAGAAGAGATTCTAAATAATGCTGAGTTCACAATCTGAGAAAAAGCATCCACTTACTTCTTTTGGGGGAGGAGAGGAGGCGGAGCTACCACTGCTGACTTTTTGGTGCATTGAGAACTAATAGCGAAGTCTGTTTCTTGAAAGGAGATTTTTCACGCTGGTGCAGCCTTAGAGAAAAATAATATTTATTTTCAATTTACTTGGATTAAGGTTTCCTTCCTTACTTTCAGCCTTTAAACACACCAGCACGATTTCCTCCTCCTGCAATGGGGGCTGGGGCATGTAAGGACAGGTGTTTGTATTGGACTTAAATATGGCCTTTCTGCTTAGCACTTTAGAAAGTCGCGCTAATGAGTCCAAAGTCTTAGGTTTAATTGCTACAGGGAGCTTCATTCTTCTCCATTATTTATCTTTGAAGAAGACCCCAAAGGAGGTGAAAATGGAACAAATAAAATATTATTGGAGAAGGAAGCCGTGAAAGTCCAAATTAAAAGATGACATCTTGCATGTGACATGGAGATAAGAAGATCTACGTGGACCAAGGACAGCATAATGATGGCTGGGGGTATCAGAAGAGGAGAGATGGACCACCAAGGCAAGGGGAAGGGGCACACTGACTGCACAGTCTTTGCCTAAGGTGGTTGCTGTGGCTGGATCAGAACAAGCCCACGCTAGTTACTAAGCAATAACTCAGAGGGTGGCAGGGCAGGGCCATCAGCTTGGAATTCAGTACTTATTTGTTATGTAGCAAAATTGTTGAATGGGAAGACCAGAAATCAAATTCTTATATAGGTTCCCAGGCTACTGCTATAGTTTTGGAAAAAATATAGTGTGGAATAAGCCTCTGGGTTTACAGTCACAATATCTCGGTGTCTCCTCCACTTGGCTCTGAGGTAGACAACACAAAGGAGCTACAGCTGCTCGTTCGGGCCAGAGTTACCCCAGGCCTTTTTTCCATCCCCGGTCCTTGAGGACAGATTATGCATGTTTTAAATCTTGTTCAAGAGAGCACATTTTAAGCGATATTTAGTAAAATTAAAAACAAAAATGAAAACATCCTCCCATTGTCCTTTCATAATCCTGTTCAATTGTCTTAACAACTCTCATCTTATGAAGGGGGGAATGGGGATTGTCAAGAGAGTAAAGAGGAAAGACTTTCTGGGAACCTTTGTACCTTTCTCAGCTGTCAGATTCCATTCTGTTGCTATGTACCTATGGAATATAGGAAGCTCCTGGGTTCTTCGCCTCCTGAATTATTTCCTAGTCTTCAAGCACGAGTTTCTGTCCCAGCGATGCTTTGTTCCCAAGCCTGATTTTGATTCTTAGTATATGGCACTCCCATATGAACCCAGCCCCACCGAGACTTGTACTTTCCTGAGTGGGTCAACTGGATGATAGGCTTGCTCCTAACACATTGTCAAACTTCCTCCTAGAAGGGAATGGTTTGGCCTGCAGGGCAAAAGACTATGGTCTAAATTAAATTAACGTTTAAATTAATGTTACCATTACCAACATCCCCACCCCTTGGTCACCATGGCCAGTTAGCTATTTACAGAGCTGTGCAAGGGAGACGGGGTAGTAAGGAAGTCATGATGCCTGCCAGTCAATATTAATGTCAATAGAAGTTAATGCCTCCTTCCAGTGCCATTCATAATCCCCTTCAACCACATTAACAATCCACACCTCATGATGGGGTGCAGAAGTGGGTCAAGAGAAACAGGACAGTGCACCTGTCTGAGGAATCTTGCCTCTTATTTGCAGATCCTTGGACATCTTTGATAACATTATTTTGGTCTGGAGGGCTCTTGGCCATCCTGTGACACAAAGCACAAATTCATGAGTCAGAGGTTTTATGTGCCTCCTTGACAGTTTGACATGAGAGAAACTGCATTTACAGCACCTGTATCATTAGATCAGATAAATACCAACAATTTTATAAATTTTACATATTAACTAGATGAAAGCAAAGCATTTGAAGTCACAAGGATATATAAGTTATCATTGGAAAGACCTCAGTAATAGATAAGAAAATTAAGAATGATAAAAATATCTAATCATCAAATAGAGAAGAGAGATTATTAACCAAATCAAATTTGATTCCAGGTATTGATACCCTCTTTAAAAAAGAACTAGTTAGTCAAATGATCATTACATTTGCTCTTATCTCCCAAACGAAATCATACATCTGTGAAGAGACGTTAACAGCAAGTGGGCAACTGAAAAGGAGAGGTCCACCCATAGCTTAATCAAACAACTTAAATTTCACGGAAAGAAAAGAAACAGAGACTGAGGAAGAGGAGCATATAATAACAGACTTTTAGCAAATCTTATTTGAAAACAGTTAAATCTCAAGCTCCTTTTCTACGTGACAGTGATTGTACAACATGGTAAAATACCTTTGACTTTATTTATTAGATTCATTTCTGAATATTACCAACAAAGGGAATTTATGTATAATAATTTCAATCAAATATTCATGTCCATTTTATATATATTTTAACATGGGAAATATAGTCTTACAGAAATCATATCTACCTCCACATGTAATAAAAATCACACAATATTGACTCTGAAGAACTTTCTGAATTTGTATTTTTCTCACGGCTATGCAGGCAAGGAAAACAAATTCTGCACAAAGACAATACCCCACAGTAGATTAAAGCCACAGGTATATTAAAACGCACTATATATATAGTGTATTTCCTTGGAGTCCTCATAAATTTGAAGAGGCTTAATTGTGAGGTTGCCAGAACACTCAGTCCACTCTCTTAGGGATAGAGCAGGACTTGCTGAGTGGACATTTTTCTCTTTCCCCAAAACGTGTTTTGGTTTTTTGTGTCTCTACCTATCGGTATCGGAAAGTGTTCCTCACCTATTTCCAGAGAAATACTGTTATTTTAAAGTAGCAGCTAGACATGTATATGAATTCAACGTGATTTCCTCTGGAAAGCCTGTTAGAAGTGGTGTCAAGCAATTCACCTGTGTGTTTACAAGGTGATCCTTTATTTTCGTTTCTTTGTTAACTACTGTTAGAGAGAAACACAGCAGACTCTTGACAGACAGGCAGGCTGGAGCCCCAAAGTCAGACAAGGTGCAGCCCATAAATATATATATGCATATATAAAAATCAAGCCACCACTATGAATCATAAAACACAGAAAAACAAAATCGTTCTAGAAGGATATGTACTCAAGGTAATATTTACTTATGCATATATTTCCTGTGAATGCCTCCAAGTATGTGTCTTCCAAAAAATATAAATTTTACCAAGAATTTGGAAAATTATCTCCAATTAATTGGCAGTAAGGAATTTAAGCATCAGATTGGTTACTTAGTTATATATGCTTCCAATCCTGGGACTTCATGTTCTAGGAAATCTGAAAAACAAAAAGTTATTTTTTAAGCTTTTATTTGTTTTGTAATTTCAAAAATGCTATTTCGAGGCAAAAGACTCCTTGGTTCAGTCTAGATAAGTAAATACTCTAATTAATAAAATTACCTTCTGACTATAATATTTCTCGTCCCATTTGTCCTCATCATTTTGAAAGAATGAAAGCCAGCATTTAAAAGCCAAAGTAAACACCAGAAGTCAATGGAGTTATTCAGAAAGAACTTCTGGTCACTTCTAAGGGTACAGCATTTTTTAAAGATTTCATTTAGTCTGCCTGTTACAAGCAATTTAAAACTTTCTCATTCTTCTTTATGTGGCGTCACAGCTTCTGACTAAACACCTTTTTTTTTTTTAAAACCAAGAGTATATTTAATTAATGGACAGTTTAATTCAAAATCCACCATATACTTATAAACCATTAGACAGGAATGACATAGTCTAGTTTAGGAAGAAAACATTCGTCTAGCCTTTAAAGATTTTCCTTCTTAACTATATTTGTAGTTTATATCTTTTTTATTAAATATAACTAAGACAAGTTGAATATTTCTTTTTATTTTTTTGTAAATTTTATACACAACATATATGCATAGATTCAACCTATTAAAAATAAGTTTGCCACATTACCTAACACTATTAATAGAAAAGTATAATAGATTTTAGATTTTTCTCCCTAGTCTAATGTGTAAGCTCTTCCTATGCTCAAAGTGATAAAATGAAAGAAAAAAAATCATCTATTCTTTACTGATATGATCTCTTTTTTTTTGGTGAGGAAGATTGGGCCCTGAGCTAACATCTGTTGCCAGCCTTTCTCCTTTTGCTTGAGGAAGATTGTCCCCAACCCAGCATCTGTGCCAGTCTTCCTCTATTTTGTATGTGGAACGCTGCCACAGCACGTCCTAGATGGGTGGTGCGTAGGTTCGCACCCTGGATCTGAACCTGTGAACCCCGGGCCTCCAAAGTGGAGCACGCGAACTTAACCACTATGTCACCGGGCCAGCCCTATGATCGCTATTTTAATAAAAGCCAATCATATATATCTTTTTTTAATCTGGCAAAAGTGGTGAATTAGAAGATTGTTAATTGCACTTGTACCACAGAGTTGTAGATGACGCTAGTGGATTCAAGCTTCCTGTGGGAAACTTCTAACCCTAATACTCTCCCAAAGAAACCAAAACAAACAAAGCAAAGCAAAGAGTCCAAGGCCTTGCAGTTTTTACATGATCTCCTTCCACAATGAAAATGCTGGTGGCTAAAGAAAGAAACAGAAAACTCGCAGAAGGAGCAGAGCATTGTAGCAGAGTGAAGCTCTGCCCTTACTCCTGGAAACAGTGGTGGTGAGTGACAAAACCCCTCTAAAATCCTAACTAATACCCCACATCTGAGGAAAAGCAAACTCAATGAATAAGCCTATCCTTTCCCTATTCTGACAGGACCCAGCGAAAATGGCTTCTGGCTGAAAATACACAAAATGGAGTAAATGGACCAAAAGGGGATGCTCTCTGATGTAGGAGATGAGTCCAGAAATAAACACTGGGCTGGAGGAATATGTGCTTCTATTTTGCATAATCTGTCTACCTGTCTATCTATCTTTTTACATTATATATTATATAATACATTTATATATTACATATTATATAACATAGTAATAGTCTTTCTTACATATTTAATATAACTGATAATATCTATATAACACAATACTACTATATATTATATATCATACCTCTATATGTGTATAATATAATTACATAGTCTGTAATATATATATATAATTCATAGGATAAGAAAGAACTATTGGAAATGAAGAATTGATAGTAGAAATGAATAATTCAACAGAAGATTTAGAAGATAAAGCTAAGAAAATCCAGAAACTAGAATTTTTTAAAAAGACTAAAAAATAAGAAGAAAATAATTTTAAAACTAGAGCATTAAAGCATGTGACCTGTCATCTGAGTAATAGGAGTTTCACAAAGAGAGAACAGAGGGAAGGAATTACCAAAAAAATAATAAAATAGGATTTCCTAGCACTAAAGGAGCAAAGTCCTTAGATTGAAGGGCACACTTAGTAGTCAAAATAATAAACGAAAATTCTTTGTTTTGTAACCAATCCTCTTTTCTTTTTTGCAATCCATAGTGAAACAAGTGACAAATTTGACTTGTTATTTTTGCCAATCTTCAAAACTGGACCAAAATTTATGATGTGGACCAGCCTTTATGAATTAGAAGTTAGAAAATTTAGAACATTGGCATAAAGATAATGCATATTTGCGTCTAGAGAAATAAAGCACATCACATTAAAAAGGGTCAGGATCAGGGGCCGGCCCGGTGGCGCAGCGGTTAAGTTCGCACGTTCCGCTTCTCGGCGGCCCGGGGTTCGCTGGTTCGGATCCCGGGTGCGGACATGGCACTGCTTGGCAGCCATGCTGTGGTAGGCGTCCCACGTATAAACTAGAGGAAGATGGGCACGGATGTTAGCTCAGAGCCAGGCTTCCTCAGCAAAAAGAGGAGGACTGGCAGTAGTTAGCTGAGGGCTAATCTTCCTCCAAAAACAAAAACAAAAAACAAAAAAACAAAAAAAAGGGTCAGGATCAGAATGGCAGAGAATTCTCAAAGCAGCACCAGAAGGTAGAAGAAAGTCAAGTAATGGCTTGAAAATCTTGAAGGGAAATGATTTCCATATCTAGCCAAACTATTAACCAAATACAAGAAAACAAATACATTTCAAATATA